GAGGAAGATCTTACAGTTCTGCAGTTGGAGAAGAACCTGCGGTGCCGTGTGGAGTCTCTTCTAAAGGAGAAGAATGAACGTTTGAGTGACCTGAGCGATTTGAAGAAGCAGGACGAGGAGTTGTGCGTGACTCTGTGTGCTACCCCATACTACATTCCTTCGGGAAGTGTGCCCTCTCGAACCCAGCTGCAGGAACTCCGGGAGCATGTGGAGAAACTTGGCAAAGAAAAAGTATGTATCCTTTCTCCTTTTGAAAGTGTTTTGAACACGCATGAGTTTCTGTCCTGGATGCTTTTATTTTAGCTCTGTGTTTGTAGGAGAGCAGGGTGAAGGTATTCTCTGGGCTCAGGGAGGACATCAGGACTGTAATGGACGAGATGGGACACGAACCAGAGAGCAGTCTGGAACGGGAGTCCATATGCCCCGACACTGACATTTTTCTGCTCACACATGACAATATCAAAGCCTTGAAACTGCTGCTCAGCCAGGTGCTACATTTTAATCATTTTATTTAAAAAAAGTTGGATGGGTAGAAGATATGGATACCATATCTTGCATTTTCATTGCAATTGAATGAATATTTATTCCACACACAGCTTGAAATGAAGAAGGAATCCTTGATTTCAGCTCGTGACAAACTCAAGGAGCGAGCCACGAGCCTGTGGAATCGTCTGAGTTGTCCTGAGCCGGAAGGCGAGGTGTTCCGAGAGGCTGCGATGAGCACTCTCTCTGATGATATCAGGCGGGTAAGAGCTTTTCCATCTAAACCACAGGATGTCATTTCAGAGCACTAGAACCCTGTCGTAGATCTTAACTCTCCTTGTGGTTTACCAACAAATGCTAATGGAGTGCATTTCCTCTTCCAGTGGCAGGGCTGTGTGGAACATCTAGAGAAACTGCAAATGACCCGACTAGAGGAGGTGGTTGATAAGGTCCGACAGGAACTTGTGGTTCTATGGGACAAATGCATGTGTGGACCAGAACAGAGAGAGCTGTTCAATGTTCACTTCTGTGATAGTAAGTTACCCAGAAATTAAAAGCAGTTAAGTCATTTAAATATTTAAAGCAATAGTTCAACCAAAAATAAAATTATTTCTGTTATCATTTACTCACCCTCACACATTCCAGATCTGTATGAATTTCTTTCCTCTGCTAACCACAAAAGAAGATCTTTTGAAGAATATCGGTAACCAAACAATTTTTTTTTTTGTCAATGTCAGTGGGGCCTTGGGTCTGTTTTGTTGCCCATATTCTTCAAAATATCTTCTTTTGTGTTTAGCAGAGGAAAGAAATCCATACAAGTTTAGAACAACATGAGGGTAAGTAAATTATGACTAATTATGATAAATTATGAATTTTCAATTTTGGATGAACTATCCCTTTAAAGATACGCTATTACCCATTTTCCAACAGTACGGTTCACAATTCTGGAGCCAGAGCCTGTTGTGAACCGGCCATGTGTTTCCACAGACTTGAGGAATGAACGCTGACGTAATGCAGCTATGTGTTGTTTTTAACTAGCCTTAAACATTGCTCGTCCCGGTGTTTCTGCAGGCAGGGCTGCACTTCTGTTTTGCTGACAACAGTACAGGGAGTGATTCTAGAAAACTGGCAGCTCACATAATCCGGTTGTACTCTCATCTGTCCTTTTTGGACATAAACTGACACCTTTAAGTTGAAAACACTGTTGATTCTCGTTTAATTACGAGACCTGTCGCGTTATTTTTTACCAGCAGACTCTACTCTTTTCTGCATTTTTTTTTTCTTTTCGCAATTTCACACCTAGTCTAAAATATTAACACTAATATTTAAATAGTTTGACTCAATATTTAAATAGTTAATTTTGAAAAAGAAAGTAACAATCAGTTTAGCTTTAATCCCTAGCTTTTCTAGGCAAATTCATTAGAATTAATTCATTACCATTTTATGGAAGTAGTTTAAATATTGTAAAGATTACCAACCCTATTTAAGATCATTGACTCCTTGCTAATGGAAAAAGGCTTTAACTTCTTTCTGGTTGAACAGATCACTATACCGAGGAACTGCTGGCCCTCCATGACGAGGAGCTGCTGAGAATGATGGCTTTCTATGAGGCAGCACAACCCATACTGGAGGACCTAGAAAAATGGAAGAGGAACTGGGCTCTCTTTCAAGAGTTTGAGGTTCTCTCTAGTCCCATGCTTGCAGTCAACTCAACCTTATGTGGTTTCACACGTGTCATGTTGTTCTATGCGTTTCACTTACCAGAGAAAGGCTGCGGATCCAAATCGCTTCAGTAACAGAGGAGGGTCTCTGCTCAAAGAGAGTAAGGACAGGGCCAAAGTGCAGAAACTGCTCCCAAAGGTACTTGCAAAAGAAAAAAAAATTGCAACCAAAATAATTAAATTTTATAAAATTCATGATTTTATTTTTGGGTGACCTATTCCTATTGTAAACAAGTTGTGGCTGTGAACAACAACAAAAAAATTGTCAATTTACCTGTGTATTTCTACATATACAGCTGGAAGAAGAGTTGAGAGTCCGTGTGGAAGAATGGGAAAAGAATAAGGGGTCTTTCTTCCTTGTGCAAGGTCAAAGGATCATGGATTTCATCTCCAGCCAGTGGGAAGAGTATCGCTTGCAGAAAGATAAGGAGAAGAATGAACGGGCGAGTTTCACTTTATGGGTGTTTAAAATATCAGATGGTGTGCAATTTAGTAGTAAATACTTAGTGACATTACACTAACCAGGATGATTCTTGCTTTCCAGATGACAAAGAAAACCGAAGTCCCTCAGTTTAAAACGCCAACAAAGAGAGCCCACGGAGTAACATATACCACCCCCACCCCTAACAAAATTAAAAAGGTACTCATTTACTCACCGAGAATGTTTTGTGCAAAAACAAGTATTTTATCAAAACACATGTTCCTCTTTCAATTGTTTCAGACATCCAATCAGCTGGCACCTCGCACTGCCACTGTTAACAGTATCAGTAGCAGCAACAGCTGCTCATCCACCACGTTTCTGTGTGTGCCAGGAAGGCCTCAACTCTCTGCCAAGGTGAAAATCCCTGGTCGGGGCAATCAAAACTCAACTCTGTGATCAAAGCTTTTGGCTTGAGATCAGTCCAAAAAAAAATTTGGTTAGATTTATAGGGTTAGGTCACCCAAAAATCTGACTTTCACTCATCTTTGGAACACAAATTCAGATATTTTTATGAATTCTTGAGAGCTTTCTGTCCCTCCATTGACTATACAACTACTACTGTGATGCTTCAAAAAGTTCATAAAGAGATCGTATAACTAATCCATATGAATTGAGCAGTTTAGTCCAAATTTTCTGAATAGACCCAATTAGAATTTAGGCTTTTATTCACATAAACATTGATCAGTGAACAAACAAAGCTTAACCAAACCTGCTTTACCTTAGAGAACAAACCTTTTGCGGAATCTCAAATGTGCTGCGCAACACGAGAATGAACCTCATTGGTTCTCGCACGTCAAGCGAACATGCTTGAGCTTTCTTTTACCACAACTGAAATGTGAGCTGATGACTATATATGTAAATAAAAGCCTACATTCGTCATATAAAGCGATCGTCTCTTCAGAAAATTTCGTCTAAACTGCCCAATTCATATGGATTAGTTTTTCAATCTCTTTCTGAATTTTTTGAATCATCAAAGTGTTAGCTGTGTAGCTGTCAATAGAGGGACAGAAATCGCTCTGATTTCATCCAAAAGATCTTCATTTGTGTTTTGAAAATGAACGAAAGTCTTACAGGTTTGGAATGACATGAGGACAATTGAGTAAATGATAATTTAAGTTTAGTGCTAAAACAAAGATGTTCCCTCCGCTAACACTAGATGACACTGTTGGATCAACAAAAATCAGTACTCTGTAAAGCTTTGTAAATCAAGTCCCATCTTCTTTAGTATGTTGTTGGCAGCGTCTTTACACTGAAGATCAATGATGATGCTTAATTTTTGTGTGGTTTTGTCTTTGGTCTAACAGAGGAGCAAGACAACAGAGGCCAGCTCTGGCCCACGCGTGCCACTGCTGGAGTGCAACAGTGACAAGAAACTGGTTCCAATAAGCTACTCAGCCTTTACCGTAAGACTAATCACTCGGTTCTAGACCACTTACCCGGATGTATATTAACTCCAAATGGAGCATCAGTGATAGGAAGGATGCTCATTTGTGACCGCTAATTCCCCTGAGGGAGATCATTAACATTTTAAGACCCACACATAATAATGATTCGGTGTCCAGCTCGTAAAAATGTGTTAACAAATGTCGTCTTGTTTTCTATTACAGAGCGAGCTCTCCAAGAAAGCCAACAGTGATGCTTTTCTCAATTCCACCGTTAGAGACATGCTTTAGATGATCTGTCACCATTGTTTTATTATTTATTTTTTTTATGAAGTTTAAGTCATGATTACAAACTGTACAGGATTAAACTATTCTCAGGTGTTTGTCTTATTTACATTTTACCAGTGCAGTGAATTTTCAACTTATTTTGTTTTAAAAGGCACTATTATATATATTTTTATATTGCTTTAATTGTCATTTGTTTACCTATTTAGTCGGATTGTGTATATATTAGCTCATAAAAGGTCAGTTATTTCCTTTTTTTAATAAAATGCTTCTTTGAATTATTTTCGTTCTGATTTCTGCCTTGGAGAGCATAAGAAAGTAAACATTTTACTGACCACAAACTTTTCAATGGTAATGTATATTGTGAGTGGATGTCAACGCAGTGCTTCCGAGATCTTAGCATTATTATATATCATCAGATTGATTGTCACTGGCACAGCATAAACATCTGTTGTGTGCCTTAACTTCACATTTGTTTTGTAAATGGATAGTAATTTCAATTTTTGATGGTTGAGTTTGAATTTGAGTGGCACTAAATACCCTGACATGTAATTGGCTCATTTGGGCAAAACAATGTAATGGCCTGATCAAGCTAATGCTTTCAAGACCATATGAAGCATTACACAATTAAAATATTCCTCACCATTTAGCCGTCTACGAGGACCCTCCATCAAGCCGTCTGGAGCACAATGGAAAGAACAATGGCAAATCAATCAAACAGATGCTTTTATGTAATGGATGAGAAGTGCTAAACCGATGCAGTACGATTAACAACAGAGTTTTTATGTAGTTAACTTTGTTTTTATATTCATCTTCCAGATACACTGTACATTAAATTCAATTCGATTACACAATGATACAATAAAAGTACAAATGTCACACAGTGACAAGCCACTGCTTCTTTCCACAGAAGTCAAAACTACATGTACAATATAAATACCTTAATAAATTACAGATTGAGTGAGCGTTATGATGAGCGTTTGAGGTTCACTGTATGCAAGAATAACCACATGCTTAATGACAGGCCGCTTTTACCTGTCTGCTGAGCAATATATATATATTTTTAGAGAGAGAGCCTTTAAAGACAAAGCAGACGTATATGCTTCTAATTTGAAAGGTTAGAACTACATAAACGAGCAGTAAGCCGACAACCCCATATAACTTGAAAAATATTCAAGGGGATGCAGATCTCTGTATAGTGCAGTTTTCTTTATCTTTAGTTTTTTGTTTCAAACTTTAAATTCCTGGGCATATTATCTTCTTGCTTTCGTCAGATAAAATGTCTGCATGCTAACATCACACTGTAGAAGTTCTGCCAAACAGGCCTATGAACATTATTTGATTTGTCATATATCACTGAAAGCAAAAACCCATCAAAAAGCTAACTGCAATGAAGTCTCTTGATTTGACACATATTTTCTATGTAAGCGGTTGTATGTTTTCATTTGCAGGTTTTTGAACTCTTGGCTATGATGCACCAACAGACTCCTGTGATTCCAGCTCACTCGACAAAAATCGGTTGGAATTGTTGCTGTATCTTCGGCTTTGAAGAAATGACAATCTGAAGATGAAAAAAAAAATACATACATTTGATATTTTGCTTGGTAGGCCAATAAGCTTTCTTTGAAAAAAAGTGCAGGTAAAGCAGTTTTTTTTTATCTTAACTGAATAGCTTCGGAGTTATTGCAATGGTTATATGACTACTATCGGTTGAATGATGGGCGTCTCGCCCCCGCACACTTGCAACTGATCCGGTGGGCCGCCGGCCGCAGCATCAGGAAGTGTCGCGTGATATCAGGTCTCGCGATGTAACGAATTGCTTTACGGCAAGGAAGATCTACTAAAATAAACCTCAAACAGAAATAACCCGGTATACATGCGTTGTTCGAGGAGCATACAATACAGACTGCCGACAGTTCAACAGGGCCACACCTTATTTCCACTCGTTACAGCTTCCATCCTACTGAACAGGTACTGAATCAGCCCGTGAGTGCAGAGACATCTCTGCGTGAGTGCTATTTACGACAGTACAAGTACTCCACAGCGACTCTAGGGGTCACAGTTTGACAAAAAACAGAAATCCTGCATAGTGCTGCTTTAAGAGCCAAAAAGAAATCACGTTCACAATGCTTGAGTTACAGTTGCCATTTACACCCGTTTCACACATACTCAGTTGGCAGTGCGTAACTGCGTATGCGGTGCATATTTTTTCCGTACCCTAGCATTATTACTCCAAGTCTTCAGTGTTACATGATCCCTCAGAAATCATTCTAATGTTGATTTTGCTGCTCAAGAAGCATTTCTTATTATCATCAATGTTGAACATCAATGCAATTTAAAAGCGAAAGAAATACATTTATTTTTCTTTTTTTAAGATTCTTTGATGAATAGAAAGCAAAGCAAAGAAAAATCAGCATTTATTAAGTCTCTGGTAAGACTATAAATGTATTTAGAATCACTTTTGATTCATTAAATGTGTACTTCCTGAATAAAAGTATATTTTATCCATAAGTATTACATCTCGACTTCTGCTACAGCCCACATTTCTATATTCTAAATTGACACCTGGTTTGTAAACCCCCTGAAGTTGCAGACATCAAAATTTGAAACTGCAATTTGCATAGTCAGTAATCAGACCACAGCTAAAAGCTAATTTCTGGCACTGGTTGGCAAATGTTACATATCCTTATATTCACAGGCCTTATGGCCTATGTGACCCCTCCACTTTTAAGTTGTTCCTACATCTCCATTTGAATGACTGTTGCTGCTTAGTGATAAAAAATAAACCATCATCACGGAGAAGCAGAATGTGGGACAGAAACTCTAAAACTAGCACTTGATCTGCATTATCTCACGACTACAGCAGGTTTCAGTGAACCTGAGCTCACTGCAGATCTTCCAAGGATGAAACTTTGCCCATCCACACATTATCATGCATTTAAGCAAAGCACTTTAAAAAAAAAAAACTTCTTTAGCATGGACAGCATCATGAGTGTCACTACCCATTTGTCTTGCATGAACGGGGCTCCACAGGGTTCTGTCCTCAGCATGTTCTATCCTCAGCATTCAACCATGATACAGCACAACAACAGCTGTTTGGTGGAGTGAAACAGCTCAAAGAATGTGTTTTGGATTCAAGTATGCTAGCTAGGGGAGTATAGAGTGATTGACTTGTGAGTTTCACTCGAGCAAATCTTGGCTGAGATAAGACTGAGGAATTCTCAGCCTGACTGTCACACAAGCCACAACCTCACTAAGTTCCTCATCACTTTCTCATCTCTCCAACCAGCTTTGCTTCCTTCTTAAAATGGGACCTTTGAGATTTGACCTCTCAGCTTATTACACAAGTCTATGCAAACCATGGAGGGATAGTTCACACAAAATTAAAAGGAAAATTCTATTATTAGGTAACCTACTCATGTTCCAATGCTATTTTTTTTTTCATGGAATATAATATCAATAATCTCACACAGGTCATTTTCATACAATAGCAAACACATCAGTCCAGTTCCAACAAGGACAAATATGCATCTTACAGTTTGATAAAAGTGGTCCATATGACTGCTACAATATATTTCAAGTCTTCCAATAAGGAGGCAATAAGAAATTAGCTAAGAAAGGTAAATACATGACATTTAAGTCATTATATACAATATTTTCCTTCTAGGCTGTTACCTTGAGGATTGCTGTGACTGGATCACTGAGTTTTACTTGAACCAAATCAATCCAATTTGTGAATGAGTTTTGAAAAACATGATGTTCAGTTAATAATGACAGACTTTTCATTTTTGGGTGAATTATCTGCTCTTTTATAGACTTTGCCAACAAAAGCACTATATTGTCTGAGAAATGTGAGACTGTATATCTAAAAATACACATCATTTCATGATCATGTGGTTTGGTACAAGGTTCTACAATGCAATAAGCCAAACCATTTGAATAGAGTGGAATTCATTTTTTTTCCTCAGTGATACATTTGCTTTGTAAATGAATTTATTAAAAGTTAATGTGTTTGCTTATGATGCCCAAGACAATGAGATTAACCTTGAATGTCAGGGTGAAATCTGATCAAATTATTCTTATTGAATCAACTGTCAAATTTTAAAAACTTTTACTCATAGAATCCCAGACAGCAAACTGACATTGAATCAACGTGGAAACGATGTCTCTCATGACATTGAAACAACGTTGATTTTGCTCATCGAATTAACGTTGAACCAACGTCAGACGCGGCATTCTTCAAAGCTAAATGAAAATCGAAAATTGGTTTGCTTTCATAACGTTGAAACAACGCGTTGATTTCAAGTTGATTTTCCGTTAGTTTTGAAAGAATGACGCGTCTGACGTTGGTTCAACGTTAATTCGATGAGCAAAACAATGTCAGATCAACGTTGTTTCGATGTCATATTTCCACGTTGATTCAATGTCAGTTTGCTATCTGGGATGCCTTATAACGTTATGCAGCAGAATTGTTGTACACAATGTGTATGTGTTAAAATATGAACATTATTAAGGTCTCCAAATGCATAAAGTTCTGGGAAATTCTCAAGACATACATTGAATTTAAGTTATATTGCTGACGAGAAGTTTTAAAATAACCCTTAAATGATTTAGCAGTAGCACTCTGCACTAACTATTAAAGGGTTAGTTCACCCAGAAATGAAAATTCTGTCAAATTCCCTCATGTCGTTCCAAACCAGTAAGACAAATAAAGATATTTTTGATGAATTCCGAGAGCTTTCTAACGAGAATACTATTTTTTGCGCAAAAACCCCAAAGTAATTAGTAATTAATGACAGAATTTTTTGGGTGAACTAACCTTTTAAGGTCCCAAAAGAAGCAGTGAACCCTTTAGGTCAACAGACATGTCTTGAAACCTTTTTTTCATGCCGTTCTCATGAGCTGTTCTATAATAAGACTGAGATTGATAAGATCAGTAATCCAGTTCATATGAGTTCCCCCTTTTATGAGCTACATTATACTCCTAATGTCCCATAATTCTCCCCATATGCCAAAACAGACTCCTAAAACACAGCAGCCAGGCTTTGAAAACTTTGGTAAAAACTTTTGTATATATCTATAAAAAAAAGTGGCCTGTCTTTCTCGATGCTTTCTCCTTTGACTGATCTCTGTCCTCTTCTTGTTTCTATCCTTAGCTATAAGCTATTGAAAAACCCTTTTTTCTTTCAACATTCCCAGATAAGAAGAGAAAAGAAAGATGAGGGTGGAGAAGAGAAGATAAAAGACAAGTGGAGAAGAATATACTTGTATTTAGGCGGTTCTCTGGAATTTTCAATTCTGATTGGTCATCTGATATTTCTGCTCTTCTAAGACTTATAGCACTGCCAGCGGCACTGAGTGGAGTATGCATCTTAGCGTTGCTTAGCAAATTTCAAGGGTGAAATCCAGTCATTCCAAAAGAATTCGGAATGAATAACTGGGAGTTTTGCGCGAGGGCGAAATGTTCCCACGCCAATACAGTTGATGTTCAAGTTGGTCACACGAATTTGGTTTGAAAGTGACTTCTGTGTGAGCACTGCATCATACCTACACTATTAAAGGAGTAGTTCACTTTTAAAAGAACTTTTGCTGATAATTTACTCACCCCCATGTCATCCATGATGTCCATGTCTTTCTTCCTTCAGTCGAAAGGAAATTAAGGTTTTTGATGAAAACATTCCAGGATTTTTCTCCATATAATGCACTTTACTGGGCAGCAAACGGTTCAAGGTCCAAAAGACAGTTTCAGGGCTTTAAACAATTCCAGATCTTATCAAGTGAAACGATCACTCATTAAAAAATAAATAAATAACAAAGTTTAAGTTTTATAATCCCAAATGGGCGCCTTGATCTGTTCTTTAATGCACGTTCGTGACTCTCCTGTTCGAACTTGTTCATCAAAATAAACAAATCTTTCGTTCGTTGAATGAACCGAATGACTCGAAAAAAGATTTGTTCATTTTGATGAATGAGTTTGAAACTTTTTTTTTTCAGACCCTTATTCATCGTCTGGAATCGTTTAAAGCCCTTTGCAGTTTGCACTGAAATTGTCTTTTGGACCTTTAACTGTTTGGTTACCAGTTAAGTGCATTATATGGAGAAAAATTCTGGAATGTTTTCATCAAAAACATTAATTTCTTTTCGACTGAAGAAAGAATGACATATCTTGACATGATATGGGGGTGAGTAAATTATCAGCAAAAGTTGTTTTTTTTAAAAGTGAACTACTCCTTTAACAATGGTAATTTTCTTGCTCATTTGCTAATGTGACTGCACCTAAATTCAAACCTTACCATTCTCAGCGTAACTATTATTTCATGTCCTCTGTTCCTTCTGCATCTTAATCACCCCAGCAGGGTTTATTTTTTGATAATGACCGGCTGACTAACACTGTCCTCTGTTGTTTGTAGATAGGATATCGATTGGGAATCGTTTATAGGAAAAGTAAATCCAATAAGTAACTGCACAAACCAATTGGTGCCAGAGAAGAGGAACATTCGTCAACATCACTCAACCATCTGCTTTTAAAGTAATTAAGTCTGAATGTAGTAATTAGTCTGT